AAGTATAAAATTTTATTTGCAGTCAAAAGCTGGATCATGAAATTAAGAATATCATAAAAGTTAAGCTATTTTAGCTTAAATTCAGCGATTAATTGAGCGTGTTGAAGAATCTTGGTGCGTTATTTATAGAGCTTTGAGTTTCCTTCAAAATTATCCCCAAACTTTTTTTCCTACAGTGAATATTATAATAATACAGGGTGTCCGGGAAAAGGGGGTCAATCCGTTAACCATATATTCCTTGAGTTAAAACAATAAGACTTTCATAATACCATTTTTCAATTTAGAGCTTCATGTTCGATATACAGGGCGACAAAGTTTGAAATTTAAAACTCATTTTTTTTAATGATTCGAGTAATTGATAAGATATTAAGTTCAAATTCGGTACACTACTTCAAAATAAATAGTTACATTTTTTGAGACCAACAAAACAAAAAACAATTGTTAAATAATCAAAATAGGGGGGTCCAGTAGTCACTGACTCTCCCTATTTTTTAGTACGTGCGCCAATGACTTCCAAACGGTATTTTTTCAGGTAATTATTTATTGTTAAAAAAATTTTGTCTCTTATAAAATTTTGATAAAATGATTTGTTTTAGAGATAATTTGTAAAGTATGGGTCAGTCCATATCAAATCAACCAAAGGTTCTTCCCCCACCATCTCCGATTTTGATAATTTTCGGTAAATTTGTTTACCTCACTAAAAAACTCAAAAATCCCATATATGAATTTTTTTCGATAGGTGGTTTTTGTTTTATTGATTTTTGAAAATCAAAAAATTCCGATAAATTTGGGTCTTGCAAGTACTTACAAAAATAGCGATATCTCGTAAAATATTAAAAGTAGAAAGGTGAGTGATGGCTTATTTTAAAGGCCTATTAGAGACCTTTTTTATGATATATCACATGACCTAAATTTTTTCAAAAAAAAAATAAATTTCGAAAATTTGATATGGACTGACCCATACTTTACAAATTATCTCTAAAACAAATCATTTTATCAAAATTTTATAAGAGACAAAAAATTTTCAACAATAAATGATTACCTGAAAAAATACCGTTTGGAAGTCATTGGCGCACGTACTAAAAAATAGGGGGAGTCAGTGAGTACTGGACCCCCCTATTTTGATTATTTGACAATTGTTTTTTATTTTGTTGGTCTCAAAAAATGTAACTATTTATGTTGAAGTAGTGTACCGAATTTAAACTTAATATCTTATCAATTACTCGAATTATTAAAAAAAAATCAGTTTTAAATTTCAAACTTTGTCGCCCTGTATATCGAACATGAAGCTCTAAATTGAAAAATGGTATTATGAAAGTCTTATTGTTTTGACTCAAGGAATATATGGTTAACGGATTGACCTCCTTTTCCCGGACACCCTGTATATTATGCATAATAATGAAAATAGGATTTTAAGACACTTATAACTTTTGAACAGTAGGTGATGTAAACATTTAAATGGGTAAAAAAAAATCGTAAATATTATTAGGTAAAATTTAGTAAAGAAATAATAAAAATTATAAATGGTATAAAAACCTGTAATTCTTGAATTTTATTAATAAAATTTGAAATTTTTTGATAAACTTCAGTGAATTAAATATTGTACCACTTTAATTTGAATTATCTTAATTTGGAGGGGCAGGAGGCTGGGGGTTGCACTTAAAAAGTGTCTAAAATCCTATTCTCATGATTATGCATAATATAGGTATTATTATAATATTCACTGTGGGAAAAAAAGTTTGGGAACATTTTTGCAAGAAACTCGAAGCTCTATAAATAACGTAACAAATAAAATTTTATTCTTCGCTTCAAAAAAGTTTTAAAATACTGAAAATAATTTTAAACCTTAAAAATTATTTTTAGTATTTCAAAACTGTTTTGCGAAGTATAAAATTTTATTTGCAGTCAAAAGCTGGATCATGAAATTAAGAATATCATAAAAGTTAAGCTATTTTAGCTTAAATTCAGCGATTAATTGAGCGTGTTGAAGAATCTTGGTGCGTTATTTATAGAGCTTTGAGTTTCCTTCAAAATTATCCCCAAACTTTTTTTCCTACAGTGAATATTATAATAATATATTATGCATAATAATGAAAATAGGATTTTAAGACACTTATAACTTTTGAACAGTAGGTGATAAAAAAATTGTTATAATAATAATAATTTTATTGCTAATAAGATCATACATGATATAAGCAACGTCGAAATACGAAAAAAAAACAAGTTGAAACATTTAGTCATAAAAATACAGTCATACGGTATACAATAAATAAATTGAACATTTAATACATTTAGTAAACATTTAAATGGGTAAAAAAAAATCGTAAATATTATTAGGTAAAATTTAGTAAAGAAATAATAAAAATTATAAATGGTATAATAAAACCTGTAATTCTTGAATTTTTTTAATAAAACTTGAAATTTTTTTATAAACTTCATTGAATTAAATATTGTACCACTTTAATTTGAATTATCTTAATTTGGAGGGGCAGGAGGCTGGGGGTTGCACTTAAAAACTAACTTTTTTTCGCAAAATTTAATTTAAATTCTGCTTGCGCAGAACTTGTCTATATAATGTCATTATAAACTCATATAAATTTGGTGTGGGTCCCATGTCTAATAACTAGGGATGGGATATTTAGGTACTAAAAACTGAAAAATAGGTAACTAAAAAGGTACTAAAAAAGCATTTTAGGTTAAAAAAACAGCATTTTAGGTAAAAAAAAAAACATTAAAAGTTCAAGTTTCTTTTATAATTTTGTTTAGCCGCATACCCAAACACAGAACATAAAAGAAAGTTACTGTTACAGTCTGCGACCCATAGAAATAATTTAGAATAATAGAATAATTTGTGACCATAAGAAAAAAATATATACCGTTGAGTTGCACGCCCTGGATAAAATATTGGCAGACAATTTAAAAAGAACACAAAAAAATAAAATAAGTAAAAATACGTAAAAATAGATAACAAATAAGTGAAAATAAACTGACAAATTAAAAAATATGTAACAAAAGTATAAAAAGGTAGTTTAAAGCAAAAACCTCCAAAAAAGGTAAAAAAGGTGAAAACTAGTTAATAAAATAGGTAAGAAAAGTATAAAAAGGTAGTTTAAAGCAAAAACCTCCAAAAAAGGTAAAAAAGGTGAAAACAAGTTAGGTTCATATAAAAGAAAATCTTTTAAAACACATTTTGGCATTATTGGTTTTCAAATAGTTACATCGGTTGAAAAAAGGTAAAATAACTAAAATCCCATCCCTACTAATAACTGAGATATGGGTGTGCCCAAAATCCACCAGCCGCCACTGCCTATACCTTCACCTGTAAAACCTAAGCGATGACTAAAGCTCACACAAGACACTTATGCACATACATAGTATACTAGTAGTATGTATTACATGTAGTAAATAGTTTTGCTGTGCCAGTGCACGATAAAGAGCTGATGATAAACTAATTCTGTCGTTTACATTCAATCACACTGTAGCGTCGTCATGGTAGCGGGAGGGAATGGAACATTTCTTACTTGATTAGCGGGAGGGAATGGAAATATATACAGAGAAAGGAATAAGATTGTTTACAGCGGATGAAATGAATGTTATAAATTATTATTAATTACGAATACAATCGGCGCATTATTAATCACTTGATAAAAAAGATGTTTAAATATGTTGAATATATAGGCTAATAATTTTTTCGGACAGATTTCACCAAGTACAGCTGGCATGATTTTCCATTAAGATATCAGCGATTATTTAAAAAGAAACTGATGACTTTTATCTGCCCTCATCATCATCGTATAAAAATTGTTCAGGGTGTCAATCCCGAGTCCTTTTTACAACACCGGGACTTTCGGGACCAAAGTACTAATCCCGGGATCCCAAAAAAATATATATCATTAATTTTTAAACCAATTTAAAATTAAGGAACAAACAAACTAACTAATGATATCTTTCGGACTGGTTTCAAGAATTCATTGGCACATTGTACCCACGTTTACCCCCATTAACAAATAATTTAATTTATTTTATCTTGCTGAGTTCAAATTGGGGCTGTAACTTACATTGAAATTATTGAGTTTCACATTTTTTCAGGTTTGACGTTTGAAATATGTTATATTTTAGGTTATGTACATTAATTTATTCTACAGTGATCTGTAATTTTACATTTTCTTTGCTAATTTTATGCTAAACGCGATAGATGGAACCATTCATTATTCATTATTGTACGGCGGTGTATAATATTTCGACTTTTGAACTCCGTACAAAAAAGAAGTATTTCTATATATGCTTATGAGTATTATAATATGAAAATTATCATAGGCTTGAAAAAAAAAGTTTATTTTATTCTTTGTAACTTATGACTAAAATCCCGGGATTGGGACTTTTGATCCCGGGATTTACACCCCTAGTTCCCAATACATACAGAGAAATAATAACCAAAAACCAAATCTTTGACCACAATCGATCAATTGGAACCAATTTTCAAATGAATTTTTAGAGAGAACTGTAAGCATATTTAAATAGGCTTTGAAAGATTTTACTTCTGATGAAATAGTAGTAAGAAAAATTAGGTGGAATCCCTATAAAATATTTTAATTTTAATATTTTTTTCTATTGCGTAGGTATCTGTATACTTATATTAAAACCATTTTCTGTTAATAAACGGTTAAAACATAAAATCCAATCAAATCAAAAATATACTTATGACTTAGTAGAGATGCAATTGGTGCAGCGTAGAAAAAAGCCCTAACCACACATTTTGCGTACAACAACAATATAATTACCTCATTAAAGAAGATTACGCGGTAATACACTTAAAGAAATTGCATTATTAGGTTTATATCTAAAAAAGGTCGAATTAAAAATTACAACTTCCTATAATTAGGCAGTAAGTTGATAATGCGTTCTGATTAAGCATTCCTCAACCAGGAAGGATACTAATCACGGGACCACGGGACAGAATATCTTGATGTTTGTCAGTGTAAATGTAAGTGTAAGTGTGTGTTTGTTATCATTTCTTGTCACAACCGTACACGGCACAGACGAGCATTGACCATATACCGCCGAAATGATGACCTGCTCTTTCGTAGCTCTAAGATTATGTGTTACGGATGTAGGCGTTTAAGTGAGTTGAGTGAATTAAGTGACTAAGAACAGCAATTTGATGAAATGAGATCTAGACAGGCTAAGGCCGTTGCAGGAATGACTTGCGAGGTAAACCAAATAAATATTAATAAAAAATACATACCAACTTTTCTGGAGGTGTATCGAAAGGGTAAACAGTTCATTTGAGGATACTTTTTTAATAAGCCAACTGTAAAATGAACGGCGCAAGTTTAAATTTTTTTAATGTATTAAAATAAAAACATGCATGTTTATAATATAATAAAATTATTATTTACCTTTATGGTACAATGTTTATCGAGTTAATTACATATAATGGCAAATTTTAATGGATATAAATAATATTTATGTACCTAGTTTAAATTTAAATTTGAATTAACTTTGACCTATAAATATTATGTGCGTTTACATCAAGACATATAAAGAAAATCTAAAAGAAAAACTTTTTGTTGATTTTACTTTTATGTACGTTTTACACCAAACTTCATAAATATAAAGTCAAAGGACTAATAGTAGGTATTCAAAATTAAAAAATCTTAAGTTATATAATATTTAAACCAATTTCACTCTATAGCTGTCCGAAACCTAATCTACCTACTATTAATTCAGCTTTAGGAAAGAGAAAATAAAACACAATTCTAGTAAAAGTAAATCTTTGACGCGCAATCAAGACTTTTATTCTAACCATTTTTTTAGATGTATATAAAACATGCAAAAAATAGTAAATTTACAACCTTAAAAAAAGAATAAAAATAAATTAACTTAAAAAGAGTGAAATACAAAATACAAATAAGAGTAAAATTAAAATCAATAATAAAAGAATTATAATATTTTTATTTTATAAGAATTAAAATTTAAACCACTCTTTAATGAGTAAATAAGTATTTACCTTTTTTTTCGCTCCTTTAATGAGTAAATAAGTATTTACCCTTTTTTTTCGCTCCTTAAGAGTAAAAAACTTTTTACGTGGCAAAGGGATGAAAAACTATTCTTTATGAGTGTTTTTTCACTCTCTCGGATTGATTTGGTTTAAGAGTGTACGATTATTAAGATTTCTGAAAATATATCTTTTCATGGGAACGAGATCTTTTTATCTTTTCAATACAGCACTGTAAGTTTAACCTACCAATGTGTACCAAGTATACCCTGTGTAGGCAGTGTAGGCAGTGTAGGTAAAAACATGGAATCTATTATATTCTAATATTACGTAACAAGAGTTGTAAATAGCATATTTCGCGCGAGTGAAAAAATTGCAATGCCCCAGAGCATGGTTGCCTTACAACTCGAATAACATAATATATTTTTTTACTACGTACCATAGACATGGGATAGGTTGGGTTGGGATAGGGGTTTAGTTAGATAGGCAACCTAGTATTAAAGTTTTGTTCTGTGAATACTGCGTCCTCCAGCGGGTGTAGTCAAAAATAGATATTCAAATTATCGTTTAAAATTTTTTAGGATTGTACTGATCGTTTTCTTAATTTCACTAGGTAAATAATTTGCTGGTGAAAGTAAAAAGGAATGGTAAAACATAATAAAACTACATTTTTGTAATTATTTTATTTGTTAAAAAATATATAAACGCAAATATTCAAAACCAAACTTAAAATCAGTCTACATCATATAAACTTATCAAACTATTCCATTCCTAATCTTATTATTCAATAAGGTTAAATATACCTATTTATAAATATAAGAATACAAATTTCAAGACTTGTGTGCTTAGAGAATCAACAACATACGTATAGGTAGGTACCTTTAGGGAAATCTATGCATTTTTAAACTATTTACTTTTAGTCCTTCGGAGGGGACTTTAAGCCGTCGGTCCGTTCCTACCCCTAACCCGCACAAGCCATTCAGTTGGCTTATGGGACATCTTAGTTTGGATGTAAGGGTGGAACTAAAAAGAGCACTAAAAAGAGCACTAAAAGAGCACTGTTAGCAACCGATTCAAAGCATACTACATTATCACCCTATGTTACTGGTGCTACATTTTATAGTTTGTTTAGACAATACTGATACCATCATGTACTGACACATTACTGACACCTTCACCTGAATATACAGTTCAATTACCAAAAATTTGATAAAAATATTGAACAGTATGAAATAAAACATTGTACGATACACGGCCTTCGTCGCCTCGTCCGAAAACATCTAGACTCGTACTTTAATAAGCCATTTCCCGGCCTTGTAACTTAAATTACTATTTCGTCATCGAGACTCCCGTTATCACAATGACATTTGTACCAAATTTGGTACAAATGTCATGTTTGTTGCAGATTATTATAAATACTTTTATACATTGCGTTTATTATATTTTACCACTGTATTATGCAAACAATGTTACATGGCTTGTTGGCAACGCCAATTATATTGCGAAAACATTGCGCTGTTAATAATAAATTTGAGGAATAATCAGACTCCAAGTCTGACCTGGTTTGCTCTGACGACAAAAACAACTGGTAATTTAGTATTTTTTTGTTATGTACTTAACAAAAAAATACTAAATTATCAAAAACACAAAAATACTAAATTACCAGTTGTCTTTGTCGTCAAAATAAAAATGTAATGAACTCCGTAGCCCGTAACAAACTTTTAATTAGTATAGAAGATTATAACAATGATGTAATAATTCCATCTTAATAAACAGTCCGAAACGCTATAAACAGTCAACAATACACGAGCGTTATATTGTGTCTGGGCACGTATGAATAGACCTTAACGCTGACGTCATATGCCGTTGATGTCGTGCACCCATGCAGATTTGGCCGCGACTATACCACAATAATTTTTTCCAACCTTGTTTTAAATTTTTTTAATTGTAAATTAATATATCTGACATTTTCTTCGATGACGCCCCGATAGTAACAAAAGCAAACAAACATTATCACGTTTAAAATTACCTTTAAATACAGTAACAAGACGTGGTTACTGACATATTCTTATGAAAATCTCTAATTGTGCGATTGGTCGGATATAACGTACGTAAGGGATGTCCAAAATTTGGCGATTAATATACCTAGTGATCGTAGAAGACTATTTTAGTTTTATGTAATTATTAGAAATAAAATCTGACTGAAGGAAGCGCTAACGGGTCATGCTAAATAATTTTGATTAAGAAGGTTTTTATTTATATTTCCAAATGTTATCTGGAAATTTACAACTATTAATTGTAAATTTTCAATTTATAACTGGAAGTTTCCAATTAATAACTAAACATTTGGAAACGTTCTACACCGTTCAATCTTGATCGTTCGGGAATTATTTGCAGTAAACAAGTGATGAGTCCATTACAGACATTACGAACTGAATGGTGGGTACCTGTTAGATTAATGTAGGGGGCAATTCCCCCGTCTTAAGACATTTTTGTCCCGAAAAGTCCGAAGAGTGACATGGTCCTCTGCTCCATGGCGATATTTGCATAGGGATACAAACTTGCATTCTGATGTCCTATATAAGTCCTTTATCCCAATTGTTTTTCTAGGGTTGTGGCGGAAAACAAGAATATATATGCCACTAATTCTGTAGCTAAATTCCAGCATTCTCCAGTCTAAACCATCAAGATTCGGTATCGCCAGGTTTATGATGTCCAAAAGGGTAACCCCTAATTTTGTTAATGATAGGAAAGTGGCTTCGTTATATAATAGAAGATGAAGATGCTTCTGTTGTCTGTCTGCTCGTAATCAAACTTTGGGATTCTACCTTCCCAGTTCGTCGACTTTTTTAAGGTGACGAATATTCCCCTGGATATCCTTAGATATTTTGTAACGGGGTGGGCCAAGGCAAAATCGGCTAAAACCTTGAACATATTTTGTTGGTCTTCTTGAGTGGAACCATGCCGAGCTTTATTACCCAAAGAACTTTGTTTATTAATTACCGCTCGAGTATAGAGACATGAATTCTTTGAAAGGCAGCTCGTCTTTCATCGGATCAACTCTTTTTACTAAAGTATCGTCTATTTGGAAATCTTTGTTTCCAGTGTAAGGAGACAATCGGTAAAAATGGATTACTTTTGGCTTCCCTCTTGCCAAGAAGTCTGCAGCTTCAACGAATAACTACGACGACCATTCTCCGTCTTGATGTCATATGCCTTTTTTTAATCTATATTTGGCACTCTGGATGTTTGAACAAACTGGGCTGGTAAATGTGGCTTATTTTTCTACGTAAATTGCTGACGTAATCTTCTTTAGCAATATCATGCCCCGATAGGCAGCTAAATCTCAGGTCCCAAGCTAGACGAAGTTCACGTACCATAGATATATTGTTTTCGAACAAGCATCACGTTTAAATCAGTTAATAAGGGGAAATTTCCAGTTGATAATTTCCAGATATTATTTGAAAAACTTTTAGCGCTTCCGCTATCTAAAAATAAACTAGTTAAAAATGACTAGTTACTACAGTAGCTTCTTTTCACTTATACCATGGTTAACCATTGTATCCCTAAAATTGTCTCCTGAATCCGAGAATACCATAAAAAATTATGAAAGTGGAGCAGTTTTTAAGAATGAATGAATCGGAAGGATCGCACCGAACTCCAGGACTGCATTCTACACATCAAAATAATAAAAAAACTCTTTTCTTATTCGATTCTCATTTGTTTTCAAGTTATAGCATAATTTAAAAAAATGGTAACATTTGTTTACTAGTTATGACTTTTTATAAGGTGTTCAAAAATACCCCCATTGAGTTCTAAACATGCTCTGCTACGTCTGCGAACAGCGCCTGTTGCTTGTCCTATTAACTCTTGTTTTTCTTTAAGAACTGCTCCAGTATTAATTATTCCTGAATTAGTGCCTCTCGATTATTCACTTTAACTTTGTAAACTTCTGTTTTAAACCAACCCCATGAACAAAAATCTAGTGGTTTTAGATGTGGACTTCTTGGAGGCCAACTTATTGGACCTCCGCGACCAACGCTCTGGAAACATTTCAGCCAAGTGTTGCTTGAACTTACAAACGAAATGTGCAGGGTCTCCCATCATGCTGATAGTACATTCGCCTTTTTACGTTTACAGGGACATTCTCTAGCAATCCTGGCAACTCATTTATTAAAAAATTAAGGTGTTCCCCAGTGAGGCAATTCTCCAT